GTGTAAATCTCTATCCCCCTCCACACCGACAWCTGAAGCCACTCRCATTCGCTCACAGAGRTCACTCTCASCTCAGTCGGCAGCGATGAGCTTGCGCCAATCACATCAGAGTGTCGGTGCGAATACCCTTACAAGGGTATCCGCCCTGGTTTTTGCAAGTGACAGAAAATAAGTTTAAAAGGCTGAGTATACCGCGCGAGTCGTGGCAGTCTCTGTTGTTTATGCCGCTGATGGTTGACTAGACTAAAAAGTGTGTGGGCGCGCGGACTTGAGGCGCGTGTGATCTTTATATTTGTTGATGGTTGAAGAGTCGGCGCGATCCCCGATCCAAATTTTTCTTTTGATTAAACACGGATTAAAAGGATTATGTCTTGTTGACACATGAGCTTGCCTGTGACCTATGCGTACGTGCGGAGGACGACATCGACGACAACATGACTTTTGAAGGCGTCTTGGTAGCTGGGCGCGTCGCGCAGTGTCCGTTTATTTAGGCGACCGCCAGAGCTAGACCCAGCCTTGGGCCTAGCGCTATTGGTTACAGTATCAGACTTTCGTTAAGGAGATTCAGGGATCGAGGATGAGCGGTGGCAACCCACGGTTATTAATGTAGTACAAGGAAGGCCGAGGGATTGAGGTCCCGGCGGGGCTACCCCCTTTGGGTTCGCTGATGGCGATGTCGAGGCGGTGTTAGCGTTTTTCCTTTTCCCCGCCTGTCGTCCTTTGACGATCAGGATTTTTCTAGATATTTCATTATTTTTGTCGTCGTCCGCCAACCACGAATTGACTGCGGTGCGACGAGCGCCGGGGGCCTCAAGGTTCTCATTTAAATATTTGCTACTACCGCCGAGGGTCGCACCGGGCCCAGAGTACCAAGGCCCACGCATAGGCCTTAGAGTGGGCCGCGCTCTCGGTTCCGCGGCCAGTTGTCTGAGCGGGAGCTTGCCCTTTGGGGTCCCGAGGCAGCAACGGGCGCTGTGTGGAGCAAGGCAGAGATAGCAACGGGCGTTGGAATTGGTGATAGGGAGGCAGCACGGCAGCCGTGTAGTGAAGCACAAGACATCAGAAGAAGGGCAACCACACCGCAAAGGACGACAGGGCGAGCGGGCCAGCAGCCCAGCAACCGCGGAGCGGAGCGCAAGGCACCAGCAACAAGGCAACCAACCTACAAGGCACATAAGCGGAAGGGAGGGCCATCGGATTAGCTGCCAGGCAGCGAAGCTCAAGGCAACCCAATTAACACGAAGGCAGTGGGACAGGCAGGAAGGCACAGGCAAAGGGCAGACGACGCAGTCCACACATCCAACAACCCGACCATGATACTCAGTGAACACACCACCCTGCGAAGAACCCCATGTGAAGCCAGCGGGACAGGCAGCAAGGGACCGGTGGAGCGCAGACGACGCAGTCCATATGTCCAACAACACGGCCACACTACTGAGTCAACACATCACCATGCAAAGACCCACATGTGAAGCCAGCGGGTTAGGCAGCAAGGCACAAGCAAAGCGCAAACGCACATCCAACAACACGGCCACACTACTCAGCGAACACATCACCCTGCAAACAGCCACATGCGAAGCCAGCGGTACAGGCAGCAAGGCACAGGCAGAGCGCAGACAAGGCAATCCACACATCCAACACAGAGCAAAGCAGCACATGACCTACTCACATCATGATTGAACCTTGCAGGCTGTTGGTTCCCACCACCCACTGAGCCAGGGAGTCAATCCGACAAGCACCCGTCATCAGGCAACCCGAACAACACGAAGGTAGTGGGACAGGCAGGAAGGCACCAGAAAAGGGCAGACGACGCAGTCCACACATCCAACAACCCGGCCACGCTACTTAGCGAACACACCACTTTGCAAAGAACCACATGCGAAGCCAGCGGGACAGGCAGCAAGGCACCGGCGGAGTGCAGACGACGCAGTCCACACGTCCAACAACACGGCCACAGTACTGAGCGAACACATCACCGTGCAAAGACCCACATGCGAAGTCAGCGGGTCAGGCAGCAAGGCACGGGCGGAGCGCAGACGCACATCCAACAACACGGCCATACTACTCAGCGAACACATCACCCTACAAACAGCCACATGCGAAGCCAGCGGTACAGGCAGCAAGGCACCGACAGAGCGCAAACAAGGCAATCCACACATCCAACACAGAGCAAAGCAGCACATGACCTACTCACATCACGATTGAACCTTGCAGGCGGTTGGTTCCCACCACCCACTAAGCCAGGGAGTCAATCCGGCGAGCACCCGTCATCACCCACAGGCAACACAGACACCCCGAACTGAGCGGACCCCCCAAGAGTGCACTTGGCACTCCGAACAAGGCACCACCGACCTTTTGGCAGTACTTGAGGGCGCTCAATTGGGCACACAAAACATATGTCCGTGTAGGATCGTCAGAGACTAGGCAAAATCAGATGGAGGACATAACAGAAGAAAGACTGACATACATAAAACTGATTGTGTGTGTGTGTGTGTGTGTGTGTGTGTGTGTGTGTGTGTGTGTGTGTGTGTGTG